CTGATTGGCGGAGCCCTCCATGGGTGAAGATGGATTATTTTTTTGTGTGCTCGTTTTTTTTGTTTTGTTTTTTTTTCATTGCGTCGGTTCTTATGGCTTTTTATTTGGCCTTTTTTGGGTCTGAAAAAAGAAGATTGTAGAAGAAAGAAAACATCAAATGGTAAGTTATTTTTATCTAATTTTTTTTAACAGGTTTTTAGTTAAAGGTCCCCCCCTCATTATTTTTAGGGTGAGGGGGGTAGGTAGGGAGCTAATTTTTTTTGGGGGGGGAGGGGTGACTAGGGTCCCCCTCCCTTTGTATTTAGGGCCCCCACCCACCGCTCAGGGGTGGGGGCCGGGGGGGGACAATAGGTCCCCCTCTTATTGTTAATTTTTGGGCCCCCACACAATAGGTCCTCCCCTTATTGTTAATTTTAGGGCCCCGACCCACCACTCAGGGGTGGGGGCCGGGGGGGACAGTAGGTCCCCCCCTTATTGTTAATTTTAGGGCCCCCACCCACCGCTCAAACATATATATTAATAACGGACATATAGCCTTTTCCTTGTTCAATCAACTTATACCTGATTGCTTGCATATTGCAAAAACAAGGTACCCCAATTTACTAAAATGAGTAAGAATGCGAGATTCATCTATTAAAGAATTGTGATGAGGAATATTTTAAGCAAAGGCATGACAATGCTACTGGCAGTATTAAGACATACATATCATGTACAGGCTACTGGCATATTGCATTGTGGCGAAAGTAACCTCGTCACTTGCCTCCTGCCCACAGACTATGGGCCCTGCAGGGATAGCTGTAAAAGACTACCGAACTTGACCGACTGTTAGCACCGATTTCCCTGGAACTGTTTTGGGCATAGGACCATGTGCACAGTCGGTCAAAACTATGACTTTCAGGAAATTGCTGAACCCCTGAACTGATCTGGGTAATTTTTCGATATGTCGTTCACCCAGATCGGTGCTATCAGGGGATTTATGGGGTTTTATGTGTTTTTAAGGTACTTTTTGGGATTTCATAAAATTGTATGTTTTTCTGTGCTTGGAAATAATTGGGTTAGTTAAGTAGAGTTTCTGATTCAATTATCTCCCAAGCACAGAGGATGGATGCTATTGTTTGTGTATGGGCATGTCTCACTGTATGACTGTTTTTATTGGTTTATTCACTTTGTGTCCCTGTGCCCATCAAGGTCCACCTGGGTGTCACCCTTGTTGGGAAACTTGCACAAAAGGCCAATGTGCCTCCATTAAAATTCTGTTCCTGCTTACCCTCAACAGAGAGTCTCATCTCATGTGTGGGGGAAATGGTTGTATCTATCCTGGGGATTGCTATATCACTATACTCCCCAGGAATTATAATCACTAGCTCTTATAAGAGCTGTTCCTGCTGCGCTCTCTGAGAGTAGGAGAGGTCTACCCACTGGATGCTGGATCCTGGTCTGGGTTCCAGGGTGGGTGAAGGACAGCGAGACCCCTGCGCAGCTGCATCCCTGGGAGTTGGGTCTGCAGTGCTTATGGTGACTGGTGGAGTCAGCTGGAATTCCTCGGGGAGCACTAGGAGCATTGGCGGAGGCACTCGGTTGCAGTGCCAGGTGATTCGTCACAGGCATATGTTTATAAAGTTGTACCTGGTAGCTCAAACGTAGTAGGGGATCAAGGAGGACATAAAAGTGAATAGATATACAGCAACTGAAAGAAACAAAAGAAAAAGGAAAAAAAAATTAATAGAGGAAAAGGTAATTATTAATTTGGTGTACCAGTTGTGTAGTCTCCAGAAGTAGCCAAAGACGCTCCATGTGGGGGACCCTGGTAACTTCCAGGTAGCGGACCTCACGTAGGTCAAATTGGTGCCACGTTAGAGGTTCAGTTTATAGACTACATGCGTTGTCCTACATGTGATAGTAAACATTATTGAAATTTTTTTGTAGCATGTGGCCACGTTACACAACTAGAGTTGAACGGACACCTGGATGTTCGGGTCCGGAGGGTTCGGCCGAACTTTAAAAAAAATAAATGGCCGGGTTCGGGCTCGAACTTGACCCTGAACTCCATTGAAGTCAATGGGGACCTGAACTTTTGGGCACAAAAAGGCCTCTAAAAAAGTCCTGGAAAGGTCTAGAGGGCTGCAAAATGAAGTAAAATGGGGGTAAGAGTAGGACAAGTGCCCTGCAAACAAATGTGGATAGGGAAATCACTTAAAATAACATAAAAAATACAAATACAGCTGAGCCATAAAATTGCACTAGATGGAATCTTTGATTTTAGCTTTGGAAGAACATAAATCAAAATCTAAAGCATGGCTGTCAGGAGGATCAACAGAATTATCAATTTGAGAGAGGGTTGGAGTGCAGGGTATTCTCTTTCATTGTTCAAACTGAGCTCAACTCTTGATGCATGGAGAAAAGGCCTTCACAAGCCTCTGCTATTGTGTACATAGTTTATACTAAGTGACCCATAGGTTGAGGAGGCGGTGACCATGGCGGTGTAGGTGGAAGCAGTGGTGGAGGAGGAGGATGTAGCCAGCACTGTTTTTTAAATATATATATATATATATTTTTTTTGAATTGGGGTAGCCCCCAAAATATTGGGACATATAAAAAAAGAAACATTTGCGACCTGTGGTGCATTTCTTGCAGTCCTGATGCATGGAGAAATGCTCAACTCCTGGCGGTGAGCAGTAAGGCCGAAGTTATGCTGCAGCACAGACAGGCGAGCAGCAGCAGGGTGAGAACGCCAAAAGAGTGCACAGACGGCCCGCAGTTTCTGCAGCAGCTCATGCGCCAGGCAAGGGATGTACGGCAAACCTGTGAGGACCAGAGCTGCTACAAGATTTCGCCCATTATCGCACACCACTTGGCCGGGCTTGAGGCTCAGGGGCAACAACCATTCATTGGTCGGTTGTTCCATGCCTGTCTACAGCTCCTGCGCGGTGTCGGGTGTAGCGGATGGCACTGGGCTGTCCTGAAAATTACATGTGTATAACTGCATTCGGGTAAACTGATGGTTTTGTATGTGTTTAAATAAAGTGTATTCGTCTAATTGTTTGGTAGAATCATTCGAATAAACTAAGGGAATGAAACTACCGAACAATCAGACCTCCCCTGTGTGAAGTGTGCCTTCAATTACACGTTACAACAATGTTGCGAATGGGTAATTAACAAGCTATGCAGTAGGTCCTTTGTTCTTGGGGTGGCCGCCATTCGGGAAACGAACACGTGGTGGCGGCCATTTTAAAACTCCCGAACAGCGGTGTTTTGCCGTCGAGTGTCTGGAACCCAAATTGGACACTCGACTAGGCGAACACCGCTGAGACCTCCACAAGCCCAGTCCATTCGGTTCCAAACTACTGAACGGCCCCTCGTTCGGTAGACAGAAACAACCGAACGAGGGGATTCAGGCGAACCCTACCTGATCTCTGTAGCCTTAGCCTTTCGTGTAATCTATTCCCTTATACTAGGACCGACCGCAGGGGCCCATCGCATGGAACCCAATTCGGCTGTTCTCTCCAGCGCGGTCGGTCTTTTTAGTACTTCCATAAATTTCCCGAACCCCTGGTCCGATCTGTGTGATTTTTGGATATGTTGCTCACCCAAATCAGGGCTACCAGGGGATGTGCCATTTAAGGGGGTACCCCTAGGTTTAGGGGTACATCCAGAAACTGGGGGAATTTGTGTACAGTATAAGGGGATTATGAGTCAGGCTGAGAGGAGGAGATGGGTGGGAGGTTACTATTGCCGGATTGGGTACTGTAATAATTGATGAAAATCCCTCCCTTGCATGGGAGCATGCTTTATAAGGCCACTGTGAAATAAAGGTTTTCAGTTCTGCTCCTGATGCTGTGTGTCGTCCAGTTATTGGGATTGCTGTTGGGATGCTGTTGGATTATTTTACCTGCTGGAAACCTTGCTTTGTGGATTTATAATCACTTGTTCCTGAGCCTCACTGGGATCTTAAGCGGAGATAATCTGTGGAATATTGTATCTCCGCTACATGGGGTGTTTCACCCAAACATATGAGTTTTAAAACAGCCTACTGTCGTTTTCCCCTGGCTGTGCTGAAGTTGGTGGTGAAGGTGTTTCACTGACCGGATGAGGAGGTGGTAGAGGAGGAGGAGAAATAAGCTGAATAGGAGGAGGCAACAGGAAGCAAAGCTGTGTACCCAAATAAAGATTGTCAAACGTTGTATCCTGGAACTGTGTCACATCCGGTTACTGGGGAAATGGGTCTGACCTATTCTAATCAAAGGTGATAACCATCGGTTACCCAAGTCCCGCTTCAATTGGTGGCAAGCGGCGGGATCCCATGTCCCTGCCAACAGACCCATGGACTACAGTGCTCTAAAGTGACCTACACTGCAGGACTTGTGTGGAGCCAGGGGAATAATCCCTGGTGGGCATAACAAGGCCGAATTGACTGCTGTGCTCATGGAGGACAACCAGGCACGCAGTGAGGTAACGAACCCCAGCCAGGGGCCGGAGATGAGGAGGAAGTGCGCAAGGAGGTGTAACGGCGCCTGGCATATTACCGAGAGCCACCCTCAGAGGAGATTGTCAGCAGGACCTTTTTAGAGGTGCAAGCCTATGTCCTTGCCAATAGACAGAGGTCGACCTCCATGAACCCCGATGAAGGAAGAAGGCAGCAGAGGGCGCCGGGAAGCACAAGCACCCTGGCCCACAAGCTACCATACAATGCCTTCAAAGACTTCAAGGAAGCAGAAGAAGGCATCAATGACTTTTTACAAGACTTTGAGCGCCAGTTCCTACTCCAAGACTGGGTCACCATCCTGGCCAGCAAATTGGTGGGGAAGGCAGCAGATATTTACCGGGCTGTACCAGAAGAGCAGACCAGAGACTATCCCTTTATTACACAAATCCTCCTGGCCCGGTATGCGGTCACCCCCGAGCAATACCGCCAAAAGTTTAGGGAGACCCGGAAAGGGGAGAAGGACTCCCATGCGGAGCAGGAATGCCGCATTACAAGGGCCATCCAGAACTGGCTCAACTCCCATCAAGCCAAGTTCCCGGAGGAGATCACCCAGCTCATCATGATAGAGCACTTTTTCAATAGGCTCCCCAACGACAAGGGGGTGACGCATTCGTATGTCATCCATATCAACTTTCGATGCCATTTAATGTGCCTACAATGGTGACCACGGGTAATGGGGAATCAGGGTTTGATTCCAGAGAGGGAGCCTGAGAAACGGCTACCACATGCAAGGAAGGTAGCGGGCACGCAAATGACCCACTTCCGAAGGTAGTGACGACAAATAACAATAAAGGACTCTTTAGAGGCTCTACAATTGTAATGAGTCCACTTGAAATCCTTTAACTCTGATCAATTGGAGGGCAAGTCTTGTGTAGAGCGACTGACCTGTGCGTGCTGCAGCTGAAACTCCACTTTCGCCTGCTGCTGCTTGCACAGTCTCTCCAGCATGTGCAAGGTGGAGTTCCACCTTATGGGCACGTTGCATATGAAGCGGTGAGCGGGAAGGCCAAAGTGACGCTGCAGCACAGACAGGCGAGCAGCAGCAGGGTGAGAACACCGAAGGCGCACACAGCCGCTACAGTGAATGTCGCCTCCTGTTCCAAGTTGCGGATCAGTCTGGTGATGGCTTTTGGTATCCAGTACTCTTTTTACTGAAGCTGCATCAGGGTCCTGGTATGTGGCCGCACAAGGTTACCCTGCACCAGACCCTGCTTATCCATTCCTCACTTTGACTCCTTACTTCAACATCAGGAATACTGGGTCCCGGTCGTCCGACCGCCGCCCAGACAGTGTCTGGGTTCACGCACTGGACTGCGAAACTGCGAATGGCTCGTTAAATCTGTTATGATTCCTTTTATGGCTCCATCTGTTACTTGGATAACTGTGGGAATTCTAAAGCTTTTGCACCCTGCTCCCTCTTATGCTGTGCTGGTGCCTCTGTGTGACCAGCGCCTCTTCCTCCAAACAGCACACGTCACTCGCATGATCTTGATTCCATGTGGGGTCTGGACCTCATCATCCTCCACATCATCTTCCACCCACTCCTCAACCCTGCCCTCCTTGCCGGTATGTACACTGCAGAAAGCCACAGCAGTTGGCATCTGTGTTTTTCCAGCATGTAAAATCTGCAAAGGACATATGGAAATTGTTTTAGAATTGTAGCCAGGCAACAGTTTTCCCTATAAACTGACCTCACAGTTTGACTTGTGAGGGTATTGCCCCCGAATTACAATATTGTTATATTGGTATTTGACGGTTCTATTTGACTGTCAGACATGAAGTGCACACCCCAAATTTACTTCTTAGGATAAATAAAATGGGAAATTGTCAAAGTGCACTGTAAACACAGTATGTGACGCTTCTATTTGACTCTCAGATATGAAGAGCACGCCCCAAATGTATTATTTAGCAGTTTAGCACCAAAACAATTAGAATGTTTACAACTGCACTGTAACCGCAGTATTTGACGCTTCTATTTGACTCTCAGATATGAAGTACACCCCACTAATGTACTATTTAGCACCAAAAAAATTGCCTTTTTAAAACTCAGATGTAACCGCGGTATTTGAAGCTTCTATTGACTCTCGGATATGAAGTGCACCCCACTAATGTACTAGTTTGCAGAATTATTTCCTAATCTGTCTTTATCAGCGGAAGCATCCTCTCCCATCACTAATAAGAGCTCATGTGCGTGCGGCGCTACGCGACTCCAGCTTATATATAGAGGCTGGGTCACATGCTGCACTGGCCAATCTCAGCCATGCCATTAGTAGGCATGGCTGTGATCGCTTCTAAGGGCACACAAGTCAAACGTTTGATGATTGGCTGCCCTGCAGCCATTCGAAAAGCGCCATTAAATTGTTGAATACCGAACTCCAACCCGAACATACAGTGATATGTCCGTGTTCGGGGTCCAAAAACCGTAATGTTTGGTACGAACCCGAACTTTACAGTCCGACTTCGCTCAGCTCTATCCAACACATATCTCTCACTATAGAACATCGAATGTGTCTCTCTTATTATAGAAAATCCAACGTGTCTCTCTTACTATAGAGCATCCAACATGTCTCTCTTAGTATAGAACACACAACACGTCTCTCTTAACATAGAAACATAGAATGTGACGGCAGATAAGAACCATTCGGCCCATCTAGTCTGCCCAATTTTCTAAATACTTTCATTAGTCCCTGGCCTTATCTTATAGTTAGGATAGCCTTATTCCTATCCCACGCATGCTTAAACTCCCTCACTGTGTTAACCTCTACCACTTCAGCTGGAAGGATATTCCATGCATCCACTACCCTCTCAGTAAAGTAATATTTCCTGATATTATTTTTAAACCTTTGTCCCTCTAATTTAAGACTATGTCCTCTTGTTGTGGTAGTTTTTCTTCCTTTAAATATAGTCTCCTCCTTTACTGTGTTGATTCCCTTTATGTATTTAAATGTTTCTATCATATCCCCCCTGTCTCGTCTTTCCTCCAAGCTATACATGTTAAGATCCTTTAACATTTCCTGGTAAGTTTTATCCTGCAATCCATGAACCAGTTTAGTAGCCCTTCTCTGAACTCTCTCTAAAGTATCAATATCCTTCTGAAGATACGGTCTCCAGTACTGTGTACAATACTCCAAGTGAGGTCTCATCAGTATTCTGTACAATGGCATGAGCACTTCCCTCATTCTACTGCTAATACCTCTCCCAAGCATTCTGATAGCATTTCCTGCTGCTCTATTACATTGTCTGCCTACCTTTAAGTCATCAGAAATAATTACTCCTACATCCCTTTCCTCAGATGTTGAGGTTAGTAGGGTATCAAATATCCTATACTCTGCCCTTGGGTTTTTACGTCCAAGGTGCATTATCTTGTACTTATCCACATTAAATGTCAGTTGCCACAGCTCTGACCATTTTTCTAATTTTTCTAAATCATTTGCCATTTGGCTTATCCCTCCTGGAACATCAACCCTGTTGCAAATTTTAGTATCGTCAGCAAAAAGACCTTCTGCAGTATCACTAATAAAAATATTAAAGAGAATGGGTCCAAGTACAGATCCCTGAGGTACCCCACTGGTGACAAGTCCAAGCTTCGAATATACTCCATTGACTACAACCCTCTGTTGCCTGTCATTTAGCCACTGCCTTACCCATTCAACAATATTTGAATCCAAACTTAAAGATTGCAGTTTATTGATAAGCCTTCTATGTGCAACAGTGTCAAAAGCCTTACTGAAATCTAGGTAAGCAATATCTACTGCATCACCCTGATATATTATTTTAGTTACCCAATCAAAAAAATCAATAAGATTAGTTTAGCATGATCTCCATGAAGTAAACCCATGTTGTCTCTGATTTTGAAATCCATGTGTTTTTAGATGTTCAACAATCCTATCCTTTAACATGGTTTCCATTACTTTCCTCACTACTGAAGTAAGACTTACTGGCCTATAGTTGCCCAACTCCTCCGTACTACCTTTCTTGTGAATGGGCACAACATTCGCTAACTTCCAATCTTCTGGGACTACTCCTGTTAACAATGATTGGTTAAATAAATCTGTTCATGGTTTTGCTAGTACACCACTAAGCTCTTCAAATAGCTTTGGGTGTATTCCATTAGGTCCCATTGACTTATTTGTCTTTACTTTTGACAGTTGAAATAGAACCTCTTCCTCTTTAAACTCACATGTAATAAATGACTCATGTGTCCTTTTTCCTAACTGAGGCCCCTTTCCTTAATTTTCATCTGTAAATACAGAACAAAAATATTCATTGAGACAATCAGCTAGACCTTTTCTACATACCTTCCTTCTTTTGTTTTAATCTAACTAATCCTTGTTTTACTTTCCTTTTCTCATTTATGTATCTAAAAAATGTTTTACCACCCTTTTTTACTGACTGTGCTATTTTCTCTTCTGTGTGTGCTTTGGAGGCTCTTATGACTTGCTTAGCCTCTTTCTGTCTAATCTAGAATAGAACATCCAACGTGTCTCTCTTAGTATAGAACATCCAACACGTCTGTCTTAGTATAGATAATCCAACATGTCTGTCTTAGTATAGGACATCCAACGCGTCTTTCTTAGTATAGAATATCCAACATGTATGTCTTAGTATATAACATCCAACATGTCTCACTTAGTATAGAACATCCAACACGTCTGTCTTAGTATAGAACATCCAACATGTCTCTCTTAGTATTCCAACATGTCTCTCAGTATAGAACATCCAAAACGTCTCTCTTAGTATAAAACATCCAACATTTCTCCGGGCCCTTTGTTGATCCACGGGGACTGGCGTTATCTGTCCAGGTTTCAATTTATTAGGGTCTTTTGGATGGCGCTAGAACTGCTGGGCATTCCGGGTTAGGAATTCGGGGGTCACTCCTTCCGGATCGGGGCAGCGACAGTGTTTTCTCCGCAGGGTCCAGCCAAAGGGTCTGGTTAATTGGCCATTCCTACGTTTATTGGGCCCATCTCCGTACAGGGGTTCGACCCTAGTCTCCAGGGGGCCCCGGACGTGTTGGTCATACACCTTGAGAGCAACAACTTGGGGGCGCTGCCACCGTGGGGCCTGGGAGATATGATTAAGCAGGATCTGGTGCGCTTACTGGTACATTTTCCATGGATTTGTGTGGTCTGGTCTGAGACATAAACCCAGTACTGTCTGAGCCTGTCCTGATAATGTGCGGTCAGATCCCCTACAGTATATATAAACCCAGCGCTGTCTGAGCCTGTCCTGATAACGTGCGGTCAGATCCCCTACATTAGATATAAACCCAGCGCTATCTGAGCCTGTCCTGATAACGTGCAGTCAGATCCCCTACATTATATACAAACCCAGCGCTGTCTGAGCCTGTCCTGATAACGTGCAGTCATTACATTAGATATAAACCCAGCGCTGCCTGAGCCTGTCCTGATAACTTGCGGTCAGATCCCCTACATTAGATATAAACCCAGCGCTGTCTGAGCCTGTCCTGATAACGTGCAGTCAGATCCCCTACATTAGATATAAACCCAGCGCTGTCTGAGCCTGTCCTGATAACGTGCAGTCAGATCCTCTACATTAGATATAAACCCAGCGCTGTCTGAGCCTGTCCTGATAACGTGCAGTCAGATCCCCTACATTAGATATAAACCCAGCGCTGTCTGAGCCTGTCCTGATAACGTCAGATCCCCTACATTAGATCTGAACCCAGCGCTGTCTGAGCCTGTCCTGATAACGTGCAGTCAGATCCCCTACATTAGATATAAACCCAGCGCTGTCTGAGCCTGTCCTGATAACGTGCGGTCAGATCCCCTACATTAGGTATAAACCCAGCGCTGTCTGAGCCTGTCCTGATAACGTGCAGTCAGATCCCCTACATTAGATATAAACCCAGCGCTGTCTGAGCCTGTCCTGATAACGTGCAGTCAGATCCCCTACATTAGATATAAACCCAGCGCTGTCTGAGCCTGTCCTGATAACGTGCAGTCAGATCCCCTACATTAGATATAAACCCAGCGCTGTCTGAGCCTGTCCTGATAACGTGCAGTCAGATCCCCTACATTAGATATAAACCCAGCGCTGTCTGAGCCTGTCCCGATAACGTGCAGTCAGATCCCCTACATTAGACATAAACCCAGCACTGTCAGAGCCTGTCCTGATAACATGCAGTCAGATCCCCTACATTAGATATAAACCCAGCGCTGTCTGAGCCTGTCCTGATAACGTGCTGTCATTACATTAGATATAAACCCAGCACTATCTGAGCCTGTCCTGATAACGTGCGGTCAGATCCCCTACATTAGATATAAACCCAGCGCTGTCTGAGCCTGTCCTGATAACGTGCGGTCAGATCCCCTACATTAGCTATAACCCAGCGCTGTCTGAGCCTGTCCTGATAATGTGCAGTCAGATCCCCTACATTAGATATAAACCCAGCGCTGTCTGAGCCTGTCCTGATAACGTACAGTCAGATCCCCTACATTAGATATAAACCCAGCGCTGTCTGAGCCTGTCCTGATAACGTGCGGTCAGATCCCCTACATTAGATATAAACCCAGCGCTGTCTGAGCCTGTCCTGATAACGCGCAGTCAGATCCCCTACATTAGATATAAACCCAGCACTGTCTGAGCCTGTCCTGATAACGTGCAGTCAGATCCCCTACATTAGATATAAACCCAGCGCTGTCTGAGCCTGTCCTGATAACGTGCGGTCAGATCCCCTACATTAGATATAAACCCAGCGCTGTCTGGGCCGGTCCTCATAACGTGCGGTCAGAACCCATACATTAGATATAAACCCAGCGCTGTCTGAGCCTGTCCTGATAACGTCAGATCCCTACATTAGATATAAACCCAGCGCTGTCTGAGCCTGTCCTGATAACGTGCAGTCAGATCCCCTACATTAGATATAAACCCAGCGCTGTCTGAGCCTGTCCTGGTAGCGTGCAGTCAGATCCCCTACATTAGATATAAACCCAGCGCTATCTGAGCCTGTCCTGATAACGTGCAGTCAGATCCCCTACATTAGATATAAACCCAGCGCTGTCTGAGCCTGTCCTGATAACGCGCAGTCAGATCCCCTACATTAGATATAAACCCAGCGCTGTCTGAGCCTGTCCTGATAACGTGCAGTCAGATCCCCTACATTAGATATAAACCCAGCGCTGTCTGAGCCTGTCCTGATAACGCGCAGTCAGATCCCCTACATTAGATATAAACCCAGCGCCACCCGAGCTCAAGTCCTGATAACGCGGCAGTCAGATCCCCTATGACAGATTCGCGTTGGAACTCAGCGCCGTTCGAGCCTGTCCTGATAGCATGCGTCAGATCCCCTACATTAGATATATAAAACCCAGCTAAGTTCGAGTCTGTCCTGTGGGATATTTATAGTGTGATAAATATTAAAAATAATATTTCATAAAAAAGTATCAAAAATGAATGTAATAATTTTTATTACATCAAAATTGATAACTTAAGAATTACCCACTATTTTAATTTTCTTAGATCCTAGAGAACGTCTTCATTTCTGCGGATTTTTACTCCATACGATTAAATCACAATTTGATTATAAAAATATAATAAAATAATAATAATATGTAACATGCATGATAATAATCAGTTAATATTTAGTATAATGTAAATGGCAATGATTTTAAACAAATTCAATGGCTACTGCATCAACTGTCAAAAGTTACAAATTTACGATATGTAAACAATCCCACAGGACACAGAAAGCTAAACTTCACAAGACACAGAATTCCTCACAGTGCACAGCGCAGCGAAAAGCCATAAAATCTTGGCTCACAGTTAGATCACTTGGTTAACTCTATCAATGCTGGCTAAATCCTCCTAGGACTATCATATCCTATTCTATTGCTATTTTTAATTAAAATAATGTTCATAACCATTCCTAGGACCATCCAATAAAAATGATCTACCAGATTTTACTTTTAACAGAATTTTAATTTGCCTAACTAGATATAATATCTTATTTCAGAGCAAATCAATACATCTGGATAAAAACAACGGTATGCTAACACGTGATAAATATATCATCCATATATATAATTATTTTGATTCCACCTGCAGAATGGAATGTTTTTAACTATATATTATTTAGTTAACTAAAATTTCTCAATTATGGAATCTGACCGAGATTTATCCATGCTATTAATACATTTTTAATTAATTTAGATTAATTAAATAAACCAGCATAATTACCAGTTATGTTGTAGATGTTCTCATCAGATGCTTCCAGTCCCAGGAACTTGAATGGAAGTATGGTTATGTGTAGGATTGTATGTAATAGAAAAGTGATGTTAGTTACAAAGTAATAGTAAAATTCTAAGTGTCAAGGAGTGCTTCTTGAGTTGTGTCCAAGAGAGTTTGAGAGTTGAGTGTTAGTCCCAGAGTGTCCTGAATCTGAAATGTGAATGTCCCTCTTCCTTTGTCAGGATTCAAACCTGGAAACTTGGCAGTCCCGGGTCTACTTTCTACCATTGAGCCACAGCAGCTTTGTTTGTCTTTAAGACATTCCAGTCCTGTTCTTCCTGGCTTGTCTACAGCACTGGGGACTGTACCTTGACTAATGCTGTGCTTCACCTGAACCTGATCAGACATCAGCAGGGTATATAAACTCAGCCTCGCCCTGTGATCTGGATCAAGTCTTTGATCCTGTTGTGTGTGTTCCGTACCAGTGTTCCTGCCTATTGATTCTCTGCTTCATTTTGATCCCGGCTCCTGGCATCGTTTACTCTGACTTCTGGCATTCCTTGACTCCGGCTATTCCTCGTTGTTCCTGTCCTCTGGCATCCTTTGACCTCGGCTATCCCTTGACTATCCTGCTGTTTGAGTCCTTGCCTGTGCTGCGTTTTGGAACTTCATCCTGCACAGCCCCCGTGCACAGATCCACAGGCCAGGTGAATTCTTACCTGACCACCTTGGCCTGTGGCCATTTGCAAGGGTGAGCATCATATCTGCGCTACAGTTGTTCCTAACTTTTTAAAGGGCCAGACTCTCTGTACATCATTAGTTGATAAGGCCAATAGGACATTAAAGGTGTGGTCAACTCACAGACCGCAATTTAGATTTTGGTCAGTAGATGGTGCTCTTTAATCACCAAAATTTTGTGTCCTCGAAAGAGTTAACTTATTTTGATGATGATTCTGACGTAATTTGGCTTATCTAAAATGACTGTCATAACTTAAATTTGCTGTCAGTTCAAAGCATTTCTTTCAAACAGGGTGTCGTCAACTTTGTCGTAATTTCTAAAATTGACAGTTCTAACCTGAATTTAACCCTATTTTTACAATGGGATGTTGTAAAATTTAGAAAGTAAAATTAATTACGGAGTCTTATCTGGTCACTGGTGTCTGGCTTTCTGTGAAGCTGTGAGACATTATTTTTCTATTCCACTAATATTTATTAAATAATATGGTATTTCTTCATTGATATTTATCAATGAATGGTCTGTATTATTAACATAATACTGGTTATATGCAATTAATATAATAGTAAAGTAAGTATATAGTAGTTAGATGTGTATATATATATATATATATATATATAATGTATATACTTGTCTCTGGGTTGTATTCCACCCCCATCCTTGCTGTGTTTACATAACGCATTCCTTAGCACAGGCTGATGGCTAGAGTTACTGAAAGCAAGAAGAAATTATATGTCTTTGTTGGCCTGAAGATCCAAAATGGAGTCAGCTTGGTTTTAAGTGTGACTGGCAGTAGACATTTTTAATTTCTATCTTAGATATAAACCCAGCGCCGTCTGAGCCTGTCCTGATAACGTACAGTCATTACATTAGATATAAACCCAGCGCCGTCTGAGCCTGTCCTGATAACGTGCTGTCATTATATTAGATATAAACCCAGCGCTGTCTGAGCCTGTCCTGATAACGTGCAGTCAGATCCCCTTCATAAGATATAAACCCCGCGCTGTCTGAGCCTGTCTTGATAACGTGCAGTCAGATCCCCTACATTAGATATAAACCCAGCGCTGTCTGAGCCTGTCCTGATAACGTGCAGTCAGATCCCCTACATTAGATATAAACCCAGCGCTATCTGAGCCTGTCCTGATAACGTGCTGTCAGATCCCCAGACATTAGATATAAACCCAGCGCTGTCTGAGCCTGTCCTGATAACGTGCAGTCAGATCCCCTACATAAGATATAAACCCAGCGCTGTCTGAGCCTGTCCTGATAACG